ATGCTTGGAGTGACTCTGTGTACATGCGGCTCAGGCTTGGGTACAAATATTACTGGGAATATGGGATAGATGTTCATGGTAATGACACGAAGTGTAAACTATGTGGTATGTTAAGGTCTCACACCCTTGCCCATTATATTCTTGATTGTCCGTTGATTAGTGTATATAGAAACACTGAGATAAGGACTGTTCCTGAACAAATAGCCTGGATGTGTCACAACGGAAAGGTTGATGATATTCTTGAGAGATATAAGAATTTTGCACCAAGATTGTAATATTTTGTTGAATTATCTGCAGGTGTCTTGCAAATTGTCTATACAGTATACCTAGGTCATAAAAGTATTTGTGTGTACGTCTGATACCATACTACTTGTGAGGGAGGAAATGTATATTTTTACCTCTCAGAATGTTTGGTAATATGTTTATTTGTGATGTGTGTATATGTATATATTAACACGTTGTACTGAACGGGGTGAGAATAGCTTGAGCTACCTCATCCCTTTGTGTGTATTTTACCTCAATAAACTTATTTCAATTTCAATTTCAATTCAATCTTACCCCATTGGGCTCGAATGCCACTGTGTAAGGTAACTCCCCCTCCCCCCCCCCTCAATTTCCCGACCTTGCAACCCTCTCACCACCACACTACACAGACTGCGCAACCTGCACAACCACAACACCTCCCCAACCACAACACCTCCCCAACCACAACACCTCCCCAACCACAACACCTCCCCAACCACAACACCTCCCCAACCACAACACCTCCACAACCACAACACCTCCCCAACCACAACACCTCCCCAACCACAACACTTCCCCAACCACAACACCTCCCCAACCACAACACCTCCCCAACCACAACACTTCCCCAACCACAACACCTCCCCAACCACAACACTTCCCCAACCACAACACCTCCCCAACCACAACACCTCCCCAACCACAACACCTCCCCAACCACAACACTTCCCCAACCACAACACCTCCCCAACCACAACACTTCCCCAACCACAACACCTCCCCAACCACAACACCTCCCCAACCACAACACCTCCCCAACCACAACACCTCCCCAACCACAACACCTCCCCAACCACAACACCTCCCCAACCACAACACCTCCCCAACCACAACACCTCCCCAACCACAACACTTCCCCAACCACAACACCTCCCCAACCACAACACTTCCCCAACCACAACACCTCCCCAACCACAACACCTCCCCAACCACAACACCTCCCCAACCACAACACCTCCCCAACCACAACACCTCCCCAACCACAACACCTCCACAACCACAACACCTCCACAACCACAACACCTCCACAACCACAACACCTCCACAACCACAACACCTCCACAACCACAACACCAAACACGGAATCACTGAATAGGTTATGTCTATAGCCTGTGCAGTGGTGTGGGAGTGTACAAATGGGGGTTGGAAGTGCAGGTGAGGGACAGGAGTAGATGTGGGAGGGACAGGAGTAGATGTGTGGGGGGGGGACAGGAGTAGATGTGTGGGGGGGGTACAGGAGTAGATGTGTGGGGGGGACAGGAGTAGATGTGTGGGTGGGACAGGAGTAGATGTGTGGGGGGACAGGAGTAGATGTGTGGGGGGGGGGACAGGAGTAGATGTGTGGGAGGGACAGGAGTAGATGTGTGGGGGGGACAGGAGTAGATGTGTGGGGGGGACAGGAGTAGATGTGTGGGGGGGACAGGAGTAGATGTGTGGGGGGGACAGGAGTAGATGTGTGGGGGGGGACAGGAGTAGATGTGTGGGGGGGACAGGAGTAGATGTGTGGGGGGACAGGAGTAGATGTGTGGGGGGACAGGAGTAGATGTGTGGGTGGGACAGGAGTAGATGTGTGGGGGGGACAGGAGTAGATGTGTGGGGGGGACAGGAGTAGATGTGTGGGGGGACAGGAGTAGATGTGTGGGTGGGACAGGAGTAGATGTGTGGGGGGGACAGGAGTAGATGTGTGGGGGGGTACAGGAGTAGATGTGTGGGGGGGACAGGAGTAGATGTGTGGGTGGGACAGGAGTAGATGTGTGGGGGGACAGGAGTAGATGTGTGGGGGGGGGGACAGGAGTAGATGTGTGGGAGGGACAGGAGTAGATGTGTGGGGGGGACAGGAGTAGATGTGTGGGGGGGACAGGAGTAGATGTGGGAGGGACAGGAGTAGATGTGGGGGGGACAGGAGTAGATGTGGGGGTGGGACAGGAGTAGATGTGTGGGGGGACAGGAGTAGATGTGTGGGGGGGACAGGAGTAGATGTGTGGGGGGGACAGGAGTAGATGTGGGAGGGACAGGAGTAGATGTGGGGGGGACAGGAGTAGATGTGGGGGTGGGACAGGAGTAGATGTGTGGGGGGACAGGAGTAGATGTGCGGGGGGGACAGGAGTAGATGTGTGGGGGGACAGGAGTAGATGTGTGGGGGGGACAGGAGTAGATGTGGGGGGGGACAGGAGTAGATGTGGGGGGGGGACAGGAGTAGATGTGTGGAAGGGGACAGGAGTAGATGTGTGGGGGGGACAGGAGTAGATGTGTGGGGGGGACAGGAGTAGATGTGGGGGTGGGACAGGAGTAGATGTGGGGGGGGACAGGAGTAGATGTGTGGGGGGGACAGGAGTAGATGTGTGGGGGGGACAGGAGTAGATGTGGGGGGGACAGGAGTAGATGTGTGGGGGGGACAGGAGTAGATGTGTGGGGGGACAGGAGTAGATGTGTGGGGGGGGACAGGAGTAGATGTGTGGGGGGGACAGGAGTAGATGTGGGGGGGACAGGAGTAGATGTGTGGGGGGGACAGGAGTAGATGTGTGGGGGGGACAGGAGTAGATGTGTGGGGGGGACAGGAGTAGATGTGTGGGGGGGACAGGAGTAGATGTGTGGGGGGGACAGGAGTAGATGTGTGGGGGGGACAGGAGTAGATGTGTGGGGGGGACAGGAGTAGATGTGTGGGGGGGACAGGAGTAGATGTGTGGGGGGGACAGGAGTAGATGTGTGGGGGGGACAGGAGTAGATGTGTGGGGGGGACAGGAGTAGATGTGTGGGGGGACAGGAGTAGATGTGTGGGGGGGACAGGAGTAGATGTGTGGGGGGGACAGGAGTAGATGTGTGGGGGGACAGGAGTAGATGTGTGGGGGGGACAGGAGTAGATGTGTGGGGGGACAGGAGTAGATGTGTGGGGGGACAGTAGATGTGTGGGGGGACAGGAGTAGATGTGGGGGGGGGACAGGAGTAGATGTGTGGGGGGGACAGGAGTAGATGTGTGGGGGGGACAGGAGTAGATGTGTGGGAGGGACAGGAGTAGATGTGTGGGGGGGACAGGAGTAGATGTGTGGGGGGGACAGGAGTAGATGTGTGGGGGGGACAGGAGTAGATGTGTGGGGGGGACAGGAGTAGATGTGTGGGGGGACAGGAGTAGATGTGTGGGGGGGACAGGAGTAGATGTGTGGGGGGGACAGGAGTAGATGTGTGGGGGGGACAGGAGTAGATGTGTGGGGGGGGACAGGAGTAGATGTGTGGGGGGGACAGGAGTAGATGTGTGGGGGGGGACAGGAGTAGATGTGTGGGGGGGGACAGGAGTAGATGTGTGGGGGGGTACAGGAGTAGATGTGTGGGGGGGGGGACAGGAGTAGATGTGTGGGGGGGGACAGGAGTAGATGTGTGGGGGGACAGTAGATGGGGGGGACGTAACGGGATCAGGAGTTCACATAAGGGATCAGACATCCATGTTGGGGGGGGGGGTCTGGAGTCCCTGTAGAAGTAAGTTTGATAATCTTTGTACGTTACCTTGAGGTGATTCCGGGGCTTAGCGACCCCGCGGCCCGGTCCTCGACCAGGCCTCCTTATGGTAGTTTATTGGTACTTTAAAAGAAAAGGGGCATTGCCAATGGGTTGCATTTTGTCTTTAACTCTGTAGTTACGATGTGTATTCCAAAAGCAGCTGTCACATACTAAATTGCTAAGTAAATTTCAGTATGACACGATCCCAGAGGATGTCTGATAGAGTTATCTTGAGGTTATCTTGAGATGATTTCGGGGCTTTAGTGTCCCCGCGGCCCGGTCCTCGACCAGGCCTCCACCCCCAGGAAGCAGCCCGTGACAGCTGACTAACACCCAGGTACCTATTTACTGCTAGGTAACAGGGGCATAGGGTGAAAGAAACTCTGCCCATTGTTTCTCGCCGGCGCCTGGGATCGAACCCGGGACCACAGGATCACAAGTCCAGCGTGCTGCCCGCTCGGCCGACCGGCTCCCAAGTTTCAAAACTCCCGAGTTTTCACCATCGATAGTAAACAAGTTCTCAGGCACTATGATTTATTGTATAATCTGTACCAGATTATACAGATCTGGGAGCCGGTCGGCCGAGCGGACAGCACACTGGGCTTGTGATCCTGTGGTCCTGGGTTCGATCCCAGGCGCCGGCGAGAAACAATGGGCAGAGTTTCTTTCACCCTATGCCCCTGTTACCTAGCAGTAAAATAGGTACCTGGGTGTTAGTCAGCTGTCACGGGCTGCTTCCTGGGGGTGGAGGCCTGGTCGAGGACCGGGCCGCGGGGACACTAAAGCCCCGAAATCACCTCAAGGTAACCTCAAGAATTACATTATTTTGTGCGTCATTATACGAGGGCGTCTCTTGAATGCCTCTGGTCAAAACATTCATAGTGTATACATTACTAAATATATCAAACAAAAAACATACGAGTATAATAAGGTTGAGATCTAATATTAATTTAGTCTATTACAAAAAATATATTGATTTTCAATATATGTATATGGTAGATACAGAGGGGGGTAGAAATAGCCTAAGCTACTCTATCCCTTTGAGATGTATTTATTGCTTATCTCAATAAACATACTTGAACTTGGTAGATACATATATGTATATGGCTCACAGACTTGGGTTCGAATCCTCGTCACGGCCCTTGTGGATTTGTTTATGTATATCGTTGTTTTTTTTCCCCCGCATGTGTGCTTGTGGATCACAGCTGACTGTGCAGGATTACTTGGAGGCGCACCCGGTGTCACCGTACGGGCCAGAGGTAGCGGGCTGGCGCCTCATCACCGCCGCCATCCACCACCACTTCCCGTCAGCCATCACAGCACCAGGTCTGTCACCCCCTTGTCCCCCCCCCACCACCCCCTACCCGCCCTTCATAACAATTACAACAAATAACTGCAGGTCTAGTGATCTTTACGACACTGCTCCTGGCCGTATCGTAATCATATATTTCTTAATCTTCTTAATCATATATTTGCTCAATCTCCGAAATAGTTCAGTAAATTTCAGTTCATTAAACTACTTGATAATTTGTCCAGTCATCTGTAGTTTTCACTACTGTCAGTCTAACAGAAAATGTAAGATATCGAGTAAATTAACATGATGAATGTGCTTCGTAACCACTACAGTTTGTGTGAACACAAACCAGCCTCGCTGGTATATAGTTCACAAGTGCTGCACTTTAGGATTTCTGGAATGTTTAAGTGTTTATAATGGAAAAAAACAATTCTGTGTAGGCTGGTTTTCCCCCATTGCCAGTAACGAGTAATATTATTTGTGATAATATTAACGTTTCAAAATGTAATATCCTAGGTGTGCTTCAACTTGCTGGTGAGGAGCAGGTGAACAGCTGATGTATGTCTTTGATAACATTAACCAGAGCAGGTGAACAGCTGATGTATGTCTTTGATAACATTAACCAATTTGATGTTATAAAGTACAGGGTGTTAACAAATGCAACTCATTGACATTGCATGTTTATTAGTTAATTTCACAAGATTTGTTAATATTTTGGCCTTAATGTTTGTACACGAGGAATCTTGTCATATTAATGCATGTTGAATGTTGCACTTCTCCCGTACGAGTCTCGTTTGAATACAGCGCCCTTTAAAAATGTATTTGATACCATATGGGAGCCGGTCGGCCGAGCGGACAGCACGCTGGACTTGTGATCCTGTGGTCCCGGGTTCGATCCCGGGCGCCGGCGAGAAACAAGGGGCAGAGTTTCTTTCACCCTATGCCCCTGTTACCTAGCAGTAAAATAGGTACCTGGGTGTTAGTCAGCTGTCACGGGCTGCTTCCTGGGGGTGGAGGCCTGGTCGAGGACCGGGCCGCGGGGACACTAAAGCCCCGAAATCATCTCAAGATAACCTCAAGATGATTCGTCATGTACACTTATGTCCAAACATTAGAACCAACATATTAAAAAGAAAATTGAAATTAACAAAAATGTGCATCGCCAGTGGGTTGCATTTTTGTTTTCTCTGTAGTTGTGTGTATTCCAGAAGCAGCTGTGACGAACTAACAAATATTATTGTGAAGGAAAGTGCAGGAGGAACAAAGCAGCAGCAGCAGCACTAATTTGTCATTGCTCTCTGACTTCATCATGGCCTTGACTACCTAATTTATCTTTTGTTTTGAGAGCATAATGTGAGAGAGTGAGTATCCCTTCAGCTATCATGGTGGCCAGGACAGACTCTGGGTACTACCACAACCTCACCACTTGCATCTACCGCTTCTACCCCATCCTGATGAACAAAGATGACCTCTCACAAATTCACGGCCCCAATGAGCGTGTATCCGTCCCTGGGTTCTTGCAGGCGATCCGTTTCTACCACAGAGTGATGGTGTGGGCTAGTGAGACTACTCTTCGGCCTCACCAACAACAGTAGCAGCAGGACTTCCATTAGGGTACCCCTCCCACACTCTCTTTGTCATAACGTAGGTTGGAAGTACAGTATACTAGCATCTTGATCATCTAAGACTTGTTTCAGAATCTGTGTAGGGTGCATAAGTTGGCTGCGACCTACCTCTACACACTGTTCTTCAGATTATTTAACAGCATGCTGCATCTCCTCCATGTGTTGTCCCTTCTTTTTCGGCCGCTTCTTCTGGTGGCTGGGAGGTCTCTTCTCGCATTATTCTCACGCCACTGGAAATCAATTTATTGTTAATAGTTGCGTTATTACTTTTTGACTTTCTAAAGAAACCTCATTACTACATTCTTGACACGAGTAGTCTACGTGTCTCATCTAAACTTGAATTATACTATTTTTACTATAAAGTTTGTAAATTCTTCTTTGACGTGCTAATAATATTCACCGTCTTGCTGGGAGTGTGCTCACAACAGTGCTTTGAGCAATCACAAGATTAGGCAAAGCTTAATTTTTCCACAGCGTGTGTGTGGTGCGTGCGACCAGGGTGGGGCTTGGAGTTTCACCAGTTAATGTAACATTTTGGTAGTGTGGAGTATGTGAGAGTACGGGGCGTGAGTGAATGTTTTGTGACAGAGTGTTGTGTGGCGCAGGTCTGCTGGTGGGCAACACAGACACCCGCTACTACCTCAACATGACCTCCGACATCTACCGCTTCGTGCCCCTCCTCATGACCGCCCAGGATCTGGTCACTATCCATGGCCACGACGAGCGCATCTCCGAGGCTTCCATTGGCGTGGCCGCCAGCTTCTACTACCACCTTATCTTGTCGGCCAACAGAGAGGTGCCGCCGCTCCACACCCAGCCAGGTCACCGCTCTGGCGAACTCTAACCTGCCACAGCCTAGGCCAGGTCAGCTCCTTCACATGCCCCACGTTCCTCTAACCTGCCACAGCCTAGGCCAGGTCAGCTCCTTCACATGCCCCACGGTCCTCTAACCTGCCACAGCCTAGGCCAGGTCAGCTCCTTCACATGCCCCACGTTCCTCTAACCTGCCACAGCCTAGGCCAGGTCAGCTCCTTCACATGCCCCACGTTCCTCTAACCTGCCACAGCCTAGGCCAGGTCAGCTCCTTCACATGCCCCACGGTCCTCTAACCTGCCACAGCCTAGGCCAGGTCAGCTCCTTCACATGCCCCACGGTCCTCTAACCTGCCACAGCCTAGGCCAGGTCAGCTCCTTCACATGCCCCACGGTCCTCTAACCTGCCACAGCCTAGGCCAGGTCAGCTCCTTCACATGCCCCACGGTCCTCTAACCTGCCACAGCCTAGGCCAGGTCAGCTCCTTCACATGCCCCACGGTCCTCGCAATCTATCACAATATAGCCACACACTAAATTATCAAGTGATTTAATATACAAATGGTAAATATCATATTAGGTGTCTCATATCAAGTAGAAAATAAGACCTTAATCCTTGATCATATTTGCGAAGAACTTGCATGATCGAGAGAGATAGATAAGGATATTGTGTAGAGATAGGCGTGAACATGGGCGCAAACAAGTACAGGTGAATTTGTGTGTGGTCCATGTGCAATTATTTGTGAAGGGTTGAACTTCAGGCTCTGGGAGCGTGTCTCTTAACATTTTTTTCGATTGGTACTGCTGCTACTGTCCAGATCCTCCTGTTCTATCGTAACTGTTTCTGAACCCATGGGTGAAGTCCACCTCATCAACCCCTCTTCCCAGCTCAGTGTCGTTAATAAGCTTCCACAGTTGCTCGTTATGTCCTTGCAGTATATTAGGGGGTTTCCACCCATAACTTTCTTTGCCTTTCACCTGATCCCAGCTTCATACCTCGTGGGATTAAAGTCTAGAAAGCAGATGCCAGACTGTTCCTGTGGCTTATGTTCACACGAGTGTGTCAATAGTTTCGATTCCTTCAACATTTCTTTGTACCACCTCCTCCGTATTTCTAGGATAGCCCCGTTGCAAACTTTTGCACTCTATAACTTTATTCTTACCGAGATGGAAACTCCACGACAGGGCTGGGCAAAGTACCCAGCCCTGTATGCTCCCATACAGCTCTGCATTCCTCTTTATCAAGACTCCAGAAGGCTGTCCTGATGCTTACCGAGTTTGAATATGGTTCTGGCATTATTCACCGTGTGTGTACCACTGGAGTAAGACTCTTATCTCTTCACCTAGGTATTTTTCCTTATGTTCACTCCGGTAGGCGACTTACCCCTTCATTGTGTACAGTGCTTGTGTTGGACGGGTTGGTGGTGTGTGGTGCAGTGGTGCTGGTGTTGGACGGGTGGGTGGTGTGTGATGCAGTGCTTGTGTTGGACGGGTTGGTGGTGTGTGATGCAGTGCTTGTGTTGGACGGGTTGGTGGTGTGTGATGCAGTGGTGGTGGTGTTGGACGGGTTGGTGGTGTGTGGTGCAGTGGTGCTGGTGATGGACGGGTGGGTGTAGGCGCCAGGGCCGGGTACAAGCCCATCGCTGTACTAGCGGGGGGGGGGGGGGGGGGGGGGTTAAAGGCTATGTGGCACTCATCCTCCCCCCTCCCCTTCCCCCCCTCCCCCTCCCTCACGCGGTTCCACTTCTCAAGCAGCCAGCTCACCCACAGGAAAATAACCCCATGCTATTTTATTGGCTTTTGCGTATCAATTAATAGACTCAAACGCCATGCTTAATGTAGCGTTAGGGGACGTGTGGTCCTAGAAGCCGCGTAGTACTCACCCAAATGTATTTTTTCAGGGTCAAGCGCTGATTCCCGAGTCACTCCATCCCAGTTATTGACATGTGCAATAACTCCCGACCCTCCTGTTTGTCATATATATATTTTGTAAATAACTTACTGAATTAGATTATTTCTCCCTCTAGTCCATTCCCGCCAAACACACACCGAAACTACGACGTTGGTACAACGTTCGAACAAGTTTTAACACCTCCTAACCAGTTATAACAACTAATATAGCAAGTTGAAACAACGTTCTAATACGTCATAAACACGTTAAGCCAAGATGTAACAACTTTATTACAAGTTGTAACAAGCGGAAAATAGAGACAGTTTCGGTTTGTGTTTCCAGGGTTCCATGTACTCGCTATTATGCTGAAAACGTTCTTTCTAATGTCCCAGTGACTTGGTTGGAAACTTGAAGCATAGATTAGTCCCCTTATTCTACCCCCTCCCTTATACCTAACATTTCCTCTTCATATACCTTATCGATTCTCCTGAGAATCTCATATGTCGCTATCATGTCTCATAGATTCTCTTTTCAAGTGGGGTGAGGGAGGTTCACTTTCCTCAGCGTTTCCTCATAGTTCAGTTATGGAAGAGCCTCATTGCATAGCCTCATTGTTTTAGATTCAGTTACTCGGAACAAAATGTTGCAAGAATCACGGGTTATGGTGATATGAGTCCGTAGTGGACTTACCCTGGCACGGGAGCGGGGCTGTAACTGAGAGGTCTCTAGACCTTTCCTAGTTTGGTTTTATACTTCAGGCGAATGTTCCACGGTAGTACTGCGTGGTACGACAGACGCAAGGTCTTGGGAGAGAGTTTACGCAAATTTCTGTTTCTCATTTAGTCTTTAAAATCATTTTAGAGACATGACATCTGGGTTCGTAACTGTACTTGTGTTCAATTCTAAGAGTTCGTTCAGTTCATCCTGAACTTACTTTCCTTCACCAAGCATTGGCTTTCCTTCCTTCACCAAGTAATCTTGAGGTTATCTTGAGATGATTTCGGGGCTTTTTAGTGTCCCCGCGGCCTGGTCCTCGACCAGGCCTCCACCCCCAGGAAGCAGCCCGTGACAGCTGACTAACTCCCAGGTACCTATTTACTGCTAGGTAACAGGGGCATTCAGGGTGAAAGAAACTTTGCCCATTTGTTTCTGCCTCGTGCGGGAATCGAACCCGCGCCACAGAATTACGAATCCTGCGCGCTATCCACCAGGCTACGAGGCCCCTTCCCTTTGACTATCCTGACAGTATTTCAAGTCACTCGTAGTATACCGTGTATTCTGGTGTGCACAACTCCTCCCTTCACTCCTCCCATACAACTGCACCATGTTCTCAGTACGGGTTTAAAAAAATAACCCTCAAAACTGCGACGTTCCTGTGAAGGCGCTGAATGTAAGTGTGTTGTGGCAACAGCCGTCATGTTTATACAACCAGAGCCTCACGAGTTGCACCTCCAGCCACCACCACCACCACTACCACACCAGGCACTCTGTTCACCACCACCACTACCACACCAGGCACTCAGTCCACCACCACCACCACCACCACACCAGGCACTCTGTTCACCACCACCACACCAGGCACTCTGTTCACCACCACCACCACCACTACCACACCAGGCACTCTGTTCACCACCACCACCACCACACCAGGCACTCTGTTCACCACCACCACTATCACACCAGGCACTCTGTTACCACACCAGGCACTCTGTCCACCACCACCACCACACCAGGCACTCTGTTCACCACCACCACTACCACACCAGGCACTCTGTTCACCACCACCACTACCACACCAGGCACTCTGTTCACCACCACCACTACCACACCAGGCACTCTGTTCACCACCACCACCCACTGTTCACCACCACCACCACCACTACCACACCAGGCACTCTGTTCACCACCACCACCACCACACCAGGCACTCTGTTCACCACCACCACCACCACACCAGGCACTCTGTTCACCACCACCACCACTACCACACCAGGCACTCTGTTCACCACCACCACTACCACACCAGGCACTCTGTTCACCACCACCACCACCACACCAGGCACTCTGTTCACCACCACCACCACCACACCAGGCACTCTGTCACCACCACCACCACCCACCCACTCTGTTCACCACCACCACCACCACACCAGGCACTCTGTTCACCACCACCACTACCACACCAGGCACTCTGTTCACCACCACCACTACCACACCAGGCACTCTGTTCACCACCACCACCACCAGGCACCACACCAGGCACTCTGTTCACCACTCCACCACCACCACTACCACACCAGGCACTCTGTTCACCACCACCACACCCACAGGCACTCTGTTCACCACCACCACCACTACCACACCAGGCACTCTGTTCACCACCACCACACCACACCAGGCACTCTGTTCACCACCACCACGACCACACCAGGCACTCTGTTCACCACCACCACACCACTACCACACCAGGCACTCTGTTCACCACCACCACCACCACACCAGGCACTCTGTTCACCACCACCACCACCACTACCACACCAGGCACTCTGTTCACCACCACCACCACCACCACACCAGGCACTCTGTCCACCACACCAGGCACTCTGTTCACCACCACCACCACCACCAGGCACTCTGTTCACCACACCACCACACCACTCTGTTCACCACCACCACCACCACACCAGGCACTCTGTTCACCACCACCACCACCACACCAGGCACTCTGTTCACCACCCACCACTACCACACCAGGCACTCTGTTCACCACCACCACTACCACACCAGGCACTCACACCACCACCACCACTACCACACACTCTGTTCACCACCACCACACCAGGCACTCTGTTCACCACCACCACCACCACCACCAGGCACTCTGTTCACCACCACCACTACCACACCAGGCACTCTGTTCACCACCACCACCACCACTCACCACCACCACCACACCAGGCACTCTGTCACCACCACCACCACACACCACCACTACCACACCAGGCACTCTGTTCACCACCACCACCACCACCACCAGGCACTCTGTTCACCACCCAGGCACCTCTGTTCACCACCACCACCCACTACCACACCACCACCACCACTACCACACCAGGCACTCTGTTCACCACCACCACTACCACACCACTGTTCACCACCACCACCACCACTACCACACCAGGCACTCTGTCCACCACCACCACCACCACACCAGGCACTCTGTTCACCACCACCACCACCACCACCACACCAGGCACTCTGTTCACCACCACCACCACCACACCAGGCACTCTGTTCACCACCACCACCACCACTACCACACCAGGCACTCTGTCACCACCACCACCACTACCACACCAGGCACCACCACCACCACCACACCAGGCACTCTGTTCACCACCACCACCACCACTACCACACCAGGCACTCTGTTCACCACCACCACCACCACTACCACACCAGGCACTCTGTTCACCACCACCACCACCAGGCACTCTCACCACCACACCAGGCACTCTGTTCACCACCACACCCCACCACCACCACACCAGGCACTCTGTTCACCACCACCACCCACTCTGTTCACCACCACCACCACCACACCAGGCACTCTGTTCACCACCACCACCACCACCACACCAGGCACTCTGTTCACCACCACCACCACTACCACACCAGGCACTCTGTTCACCACCACCACCACCCACCAGGCACTCACACACCAGGCACTCTGTTCACCACCACCACCACCACACCAGGCACTCTGTTTCACCACCACCCACCACCACACCAGGCACTCTGTTCACCACCACCACACACCACACCACTCTGTTCACCACCACCACCACCACACACCAGGCACTCTGTTCACCACCACCACCACCACACCAGGCACTCTGTTCACCACCACCACCACTACCACACCAGGCACTCTGTTCACCACCACCACACACCACCAGGCACTCTGTTCACCACCACCACACACCACACCAGGCACTCTGTTCACCACCACCACTACCACACCAGGCACTCTGTCACCACCACCACCACCACCAGGCACTCTGTTACCACACCAGGCACTCTGTTCACCACCACCACCACACCAGGCACTCTGTTCACCACCACCACCACCACACCAGGCACTGTTCTGTTCACCACACACCACCACTACCACACCAGGCACTCTGTCCACCACCACCACCACCACACCAGGCACTCTGTTCACCACCACCACCACCACCACACCAGGCACTCTGTTCACCACCACCACCACACCAGGCACTCTGTTCACCACCACCACCACCACCACACCAGGCACTCTGTTCACCACCACCACCACTACCACACCAGGCACTCTGTTCACCACCACACACCAGGCACTCTGTTCACCACCACCACCACACCAGGCACTCTGTTCACCACCACCACCACTACCACACCAGGCACTCTGTTCACCACCACCACCACTACCACACCAGGCACTCTGTTCACCACCACCACCACTACCACACCAGGCACTCTGTCCACCACCACCACCACCACCACACCAGGCACTCTGTTCACCACCACCACACCAGGCACTCTGTTCACCACCACCACAATAAGTGTTAGTCTTCCCCGGTTTGGCGCCTTCTTTTAATAATAACTTACTACCACCACCTTAAGCGCTCAATTCACCAGTCCGAGCACTCCGTCAACCACCATCACCACCACCACTCCTAATTACAGTATTCCCCGTCTGCCAGTACCACCACCACCCCCAATCCATGAGAGATTATTATAGTGTTGATAAAACTGATATTGTAATGTCCCCAAAACAAAATTGCTGTAGTGATGACAAAGACCACACTGAGAAATGTCAAGCTACAGGGTTAAAGTACAGGAGACATTCTCCGTTAAGAGTTAGTTCTCCGTTAGCTATGGGGCTCACCATAGCCCGTGCTACTTGGAAATTTTTGTTCCAGGTAGCGAATCTTAAAAACAACAACATTAGTTTCTTTTAGTTGGACCGTTTTGCCCCTATGTCTCACTGCTTAGTTACTTATTTATACTTTTATAAGTCACAATCATCACCATTTTTTTGTGTAGCAAGATGGATGTACCCGGATGTGTCTGGATTTATCCTCCCTTCTCCTTCCCTTCCCCTCCCCCCTCTATTTCTCTCTTAGGTCTTCGTAGCATAACATTTTCTGAGAAAACTGCTAATGACTCTACTGAATACACATCCCCGATTTCAGACCAAGAAAATCGCAGAAGGTCGCTCTGAATGCCGATGTTGGGCGAGGCTAGTCCAAGCACCTGGGACCAGATTCACGAAAGCATTTACGCAAATACTTACAAACATGTACATCTTTCCTCAATCTTTGACGGCTTTGGTTACATTTATTAAACATTTTACAAGCATGAAAACTTCCCAATCAACTGTTGTTATTGTTATAAACAGCCTCCTGGTGCTTCGGAACTCATTAACTGTTTAATAATTGTAAACAAAGCCGGCAAAGATTGAGAAAAGATGTACAGGTTCGTAAGTGCTTGCGTAAGTACTTTCGTGAATCTGGCCCCTGGCTTCCTACACACACACGCCTTCTGTTTTATAGATAGACTATATATAAACCTTTTTATGGATACCTCGAATTTATATAAATTCTCTTGTGTATATTAGTCCATCTAAAATAGTCTAGCTTGTCTATATAAATCGCCGCCAAACCTAGTCATCAAAATAACTTTTTTTTTTAGCTTGACTACAGTTGACAAGATCTAAAATCAATCGAGGTATATCGCTCATTGCATCTGTTGCAAGATTTTTCCCTAGAGGCAGACTCGTGCACACACACATGCAAGACTGCTTTCTTAAGAGGGCTCTCTTGGTCTGGCAATAAGTTTGATCGTGGTACCTCTTGAGTAGTAGCGTGGGGGGGGGGGTAGGGGGGATGCTTCCCCTGGCTATACGGTTGTATTGCTCTCAACCTCATTCGGTATATTATATATATATATATATGTATATATATATATATATATATATATATATATATATATATATCACACACACACACACACACACACACACACACACACACACACACACACACACACACACACACACACACACACACACACACACGTACGTGCACCCACCCTTACCGTGGTCATGGTCAGGTGACGTCCCCTACCATGACCTGCTATCCTCCCTATCTCCCACCCTGCTATCCCCTACTGTGGTATCATCAATACAGGTGCCTCAATCTCGTAGTTGTTACAGCATGATAGTTATAGCCTGATTATTTGAACTAAAAAACACTGCATGGTATTGTACTTGAATTTGTTGTTCTGTAGTTACCAAAGTTTGGATTTTCACAAATGTTGGGTGAAAAATTAACACTGAATTAATTTCCTAGCTTACTTCCTCTAAGTAACTTGTTGATGGAGACATTTGGGCCAAAGTTTCACAACTTTAGTAGACATATGATAAACAAAATTTAAACATTTCCTCGCTAATATGGTCATCAGTATCCAGCCTTTGAACTTGAGTTATACATTCATGATAATATATTGAATAATAACAAAGGATAAGTTTGAATTAATGACTAAAACGTGTATTTATATCATTTGTTTTTAGAGTGAAGAAAAATGTGGGTTTTGTTCCTTAATTTATTCTGACCTTATGGAGAGTGACCAGCAGCCAGACGTCCTCAGCAGCCAGACGCCTTCAGCAGCCAGACGCCTTCAGCAGCCAGACGCCTTCAGCAGCCAGACGCCTTCAGCAGCCAGACGCCTTCAGCAGCCAGACGCCTTCAGCAGCCAGACGCCCTCAGCAGCCAGACGCCCTCAGCAGCCAGACGCCCTCAGCAGCCAGACGCCCTCAGCAGCCAGACGCCCTCAGCAGCCAGACGCCCTCAGCAGCCAGACGCCCTCAGCAGCCAGACGCCCTTAGCAGCTAGACGCCTTTAGCAGCCAGACGTCCGTGGCAGCTAGACGCCCTCACCAGCCACCCGCCCACCATGTCTACAGTGGGAGGAATTCCAGCTTACAACTAAGACGTCCTCTCTCTCCCTTGCTCCGTAACCTGTAAGCGACGTCACCATGATAAACATTGCTGACCTCTCCGCAGTGTAATCCTCAGACAATACAATGGAAATATGAAAATTATTATTAATTTTAAAGTATGGATGGAAAATGAGTTAACATTAACTTTATTTTGTAAGAAATCTAAGAATACAAGAAACTGCAAAATGTGTGGTGACAAACGCAGCCACTCCCAGCCTCCCCCCTTGCGTGTTGGTGAAACTCTCCTGTGAATTTGGCTTCTATTATTATTAGTGCATAGTTTGCCGATATTAAGCAAACTTCGTCTAACCCAGTTTTCATCTTTTTTCGTTAGTCAAGATACATTTTGATTCGCCTGCACATCCTGGGGGGGTTTTTACTCGATTTTGGGCCGATCTCTGAACCTGATGCGGTCACCCCACCTCCATGAACACACAAGATTCTAGTCCTGGTGTGCAGTAGGCTTGACGTTCAGTAGGCCTGTGCAAGGCCAGAGTCCTGGGAGTCAGGTGGACGTCTTGGTAGCACCGGAACCTATGTTCCGGGCACCTTCTGAGGTTGCCCAGAAAAGGGAGATTTGTTACAAATAATTTGAATATATTGTTTCGTATTATATCTTTGATATTTTCATAGCCCAATTTATATCCAAACTATTAATCTCCTTTAATAATTTGTACGTGTGAGCCATGTTCCCTCACTCACCAGGTTAATGTTTCTCAGTTGCTGCATAGTCTCGTATATAATAATCATTGCATTTATTTTTCTTTGTTGTTAACGTTTGGAACATGAGTGTATAAGCATTATTATTATTGTTAGTTGTGCATTTAAACAGCATCAGTCAGCAAAAAGACAAGACAGTCAGAGAGAACGAGAAAGAGAAATAGACAGAGATAGAGTAGGGGCCTCGTAGCCTTGTGGATAGCGCGCAGAACTCGTAATTCTGTGGCGCGGGTTCGATTCCCGCACGAGGCAGAAACAAATGGGCAAAGTTTCTTTCACCCTGAATGCCCCTGCTACCTAGCAGTAAATAGGTATCTGGGAGTTAGTCAGCTGTCACGGGCTGCTTCCTGGGGGTGGAGGCCTGGTCGAGGACCGGGCCGCGGGGACACTAAAGCCCCGAAATTATCTCAAGATAACCTCAAGAAGACGTTCAGAGACCGGGTCAACCAGAACAGAGGAAGACTCAGACGTAGAACACCACGTAGTCAGAGACAGCCACTGAGACAAAGGCAAACATATAGATAAGGAGAGAAGAAAGAAGGGGAGAGAGGGAGGAATGTTTAAAGAGAGGGTGTGGAGACGTGGGAAGAAGTGAGAAAAGGGGGAGATAAATGTTACTGTGAATGTTGAGAGAAAGGTGGGAATGGAAGAGATGGGGGGGGGGGGGGGGGAAACATTAAAGAAGACTAGGAGAAAACCGGGGGGGGGGGGAGGATAGAGAAACATTAAAGAAGACTAGGAGAAACCCGGGTGCAGTCGGGTATCCTTCCTAGTTTAAACATTATAAGAGAATGTCTGTATAAGGTGGGGGGAGGGGGGGGGGCACCAACTTTGCAGGGGGAATGGTCTTGGGTACGGGACAGGTATAGGCTGGTTAGGGTTAGGCATATTAAAAGAAGGTCGGGGGGTATACATCAGTCCATTCAGACACATTGGCATGAGGTACCTGGAGCTTTGCAATGACTTTATTCACTCTCGTGTTCTTGAGGATATCGTCATATTACACCCAACATTTGCCAGAGCAGACTACTGAACATATGACCCTGTATGACTAACCATCCTGCGAGATGGGGCACTTTTAGTATCACGTAGCTAGTTTTATGACACTGTACTCCCCTTCATATTGTCTAGGGAAGCTGCACAAATGCAAATGTACCTAAATGTGTTAATAACCAAAAAAATAGAAACGAGAAGGGTAAGAGAGGTGGAATCTGATGGAGAACCGGGGAAGAGTGGGGGGGGGGGGTTCGGGGGGGAGTGGGAAAGACAGGTGGAGAAGGAAGGGGGAGGGGGATCTTGGGAGCGTGAAAGTTGGGGGAGGGGGAAATTAGGAAGCGGGGCGGGGGGGTGTAATAGGGAAAGAGAGGGGACTAGAGGAGGAGGAGAAAGACCCTGGCAGAGCTGGGAATCCCCCTTAGTAAAAAATAAACAAAATTGATATACATCAACTGCTGCAATAGTAAAAATCCTACTGATCTGCGCATCGTGGGGAAATTTCCTCAAAATCGAACAAAACATGTCAGTATTTCCCTACAATACAACATTAGGACTTTGAAGCAGCAGGAGTCCACTGGTCGAGGCGGCCCTGGGCAAACCAGATAATAACGACACCTCGACTTAATACAAACGTACGCAAGGAGATAAGATATGGGAGGTGGGGGGGGGGAAAGGAGGTGACAATGTCGAAAAAACCTTGGTCCAGAGGCACACATCACCAGTATAACATCACAGGCGTGTGAAAGAACTTGGATAAGGGAGCGTTCAAGATTTTCAGTACATATACATGTTAGACTGCTGCCAAAATCTATAACGTAGGTTTGGAAAATTTATATAAAGAACACAAACAATTTTAGAAAAAGTATCGAGATTTAGTAGTGTGGCGGGGCTGTGGACGGTGTGGCGGGGCTGTGGGTGGTGTGGCGGGGCTGTGGGTGGTGTGGCGGGGCTGTGGACGGTGTGGCGGGGCTGTGGGTTGTGTGGGACGGTGTGGCGGGGCTGTGGGTTGTGTGGGACGGTGTGGCGGGTGGTGCGAGACAGTGTGGCGGGGCTGTGGGTGGTGTGGCGGGGCTGTGGACGGTGTGGCGGGGCTGTGGACGGTGTGGCGGGGCGGTGGGTGGAGCGAGACAGTGTGGCGGGGCTGTGGGTGGTGTGGCGGGGCTGTGGGTGGAGCGGGACAGTGTGGCGGGGCGGTGGGTGGTGCGAGACGGTGTGGCGGGGCTGTGGGTGGTGTGGCGGGGCTGTGGGTGGAGCGGGACAGTGTGGCGGGGCGGTGGGTGGTGCGAGACAGTGTGGCGGGGCTGTGGGTGGTGTGGCGGGGCTGTGGGTGGAGCGGGACAGTGTGGCGGGGCTGTGGGTGGTGTGGCGGGGCTGTAGGTGGAGCGGGACAGTGTGGCGGGGCGGTGGGTGGAGCGAGACGGTGTGGCGGGGCGGTGGGTGGTGCGAGACAGTGTGGCGGGGCTGTGGGTGGTGTGGCGGGGCTGTGGGTGGAGCGGGACAGTGTGGCGGGGCTGTGGGTTGTGTGGGAGAGTGTGGCGGGGTTGTGGGGGCCGTCCCGGGAGTTGGGCCCCACACAGCCAGCCCGCCAGGTCGATATTGGCCGCACTCCACCTGTGTGCTGCGACCTGCCCGGCTAACGCTATGTTATACGCACTTGCCGTAGACGCAACCATCCCCGCCTCCTCCCACACCATTTGCAAGGGTGGCGAAGCCCGAGAGCTACAGCTTGATCCAGCACACTCAGATATAAGACACATTCGCCCGTATTTATGCTATCATAAAAACGTTAATTAGCCTACGACACCTGTTACCCAAGTCTTGTCTGATGAGGACATTCTCCAATATCCTCACTGGACGCATGCCATGTGGTGGAGGCTGACTCCATACACAGTTTCAAATGTAGATATGATAGAGCCCAATAGGCTCAGGAATCTGTACACCAGTTGATTGACAGTTGAGAGGCGGGACCAATGAGCCAGAGCTCAACTCCCCGCAAGCACAAATAGGTGAATGTATGTGCGGCCATCGACACATCCTAGGCATGTTCGCGTTGCTAATGTTGTGCTCTCTTAGTTATCAGAAACCTAGTCGTGCTAGTTATCATAGATAATATTAAAGAACCCTGGAGTTATATCAGGGTCGTTTCAGATATCACTTGGGTCAGTAGGCGTGTTATCGTAGCTGGGACCATTACCGCGTCCACACGTCACCTTTGACGCCAGGATTTTAAGATACGTCAAACTCTCACGTTGTGTCCTAAAACAATGCAACGGATCTCCTGTTATAATAATATTATATAGAAATAAAAAAAAGCTTCCCTCCCAAGCACACCTGGAGAGAGACGGATGGACGGGCGCGCGCGCGCACACACACACACACACACACACACACACACACACACACACACACACACACACACACACACACACACACACACACACACACATAAGAACTGTCCTTAGAAACGTGTGCAAGGAATCGTTCAGGACCTTGTATACCACTTATGTCAGACCAATCCTGGAGTGTGCAACTCCAGCCTGGAGTCCATACCTAGTTAAACACAAGACAAAGTTAGAGAAGATTCAGATGTATGCCACCAGACCAGTTCCAGAACCGAGAAGTATGAGCTACGAGGAAAGGCTAAGGGAGCTTAACCTCACCTCCCTGAAAAACAGAAGAGTAAGGGGAGACATGATAACCACCTACAAAATTCTCAGGGGAATTGACAGGGTGGACTAAGACAAATTCTTTAGCACGGGTGAAACATAAACAAGGGGACACAGGTGGAAACTTAGTACCCAAATGAGCCACAGAGACATTAGAAAGAATTTTTTCAGTGTCAGAGTAGTTAACAAATGGAATGCATTAGGAAGTGATGTGGGAGGCTGACTCCATACACAGTTTCAAATGTAGGTATGATAGAGCCCAGTAGGCTCAGGAATCTGTACACCAGTTGATTGACGGTTGAGAGACGGGACCAAAGAGCCAAAGCTCAACCCCCGCAAGCACAACTAGGTGAATACACACACACACCACACATGTGGCTCCGAGGTCGTAGAGTCCTAATGGCACGAGTTCGATTCCCAGCGAAGGCGGAAACAAATAGGCAGAGTTTCTTTCACTCTGATGCACCTGTTCACCTAGTAGTAAATAGGTACCTGGGAGTTGGCTGCTTCCTGTGGCTGTGTGGGTGTAGACGTGTGTAAGAGAAGTAGACACAATAGAGGAAAAATAGTGGTTAGAAAGGCGGGGTCCAAGAGCTATTAGCTCGATATACGGCCTGGTCAGAGATCGGGCCGCAGGGACACTAATCCCCGAAATCGTCAACAGGTAGTCGATTCTGCAAGCACAAATAATAAATACACAAACACAACTCCCTAAGTGGAAGTAAGGAAATGTATATGTTTATCTCTCAGAATGTTTGGTAATATGTTTAATGTTTGTGATGTGTGTCTATGTATGTATTAACACGATGTACTGACCAAGGTGAGAATAGCTTGAGCTACCTCATCCCTTTGTGTGTATTTTACCTCAATAAACTTATTTCAATTTCAATTGGAAATAGCAGCACATCACAGCTCAACAGAAAACACATCACAGCTCAACAGAAAACACATCACAGCTCAACAGAAAACACATCACAGCTCAACAGAAAACACATCACATTAATAGCAGCGTTTTCTTGGTCGAAACGCTGTGCGTATTAGTGGCTTAAGGCATAGTATGTACTACCTCTATCTACATTAACGTCAACATTATGTTTATAACTCATTTTGAATGTATGTACTTTTACCTGAACCTATCTATTACATATTACATATTTTATCTATCTAGATAGATATTTATCTATCTATTACAAGTCAGAACAATGCACAGCATCTTCTCTTGTATAGCGACAC